AGTTATATCATAAAACATAACAGATACATATGGTATATGTATACAGATCATGTATTTATAATTGCATAAAAATAATATTATTGATATGAAACATGGCAATTAATATTTATATTTAAATGTGTTCTGTAATTGTAAATATATAAAAGAATGATAGATCTCAAAGACAGCACAATATGAAGATTTTCATAACTACCATATCTTTAATCGAGGTAGATGTTATTATAATATTAATATAAATATATCTTATTAGAGAGAAGAAAATTGTGAGAATAAAACTTGCATGTCAAGTTCAAATTTAATATAATTTGTGTTAGTCCCATTTATTAACATGATCATTTATAGGAACTTCAATGAGAGGAAGACTCATAGACCTATATATAAAATTAAATTCTGCAATAGAATAACTAGTATTTGTTCAACAATAATATAGCATCCTTTTGTTACTCCAATGTGAGAAGGCTTGTGGGAACCATAACAACAGTTAACATTATGCTCTGTACGTACAGAAGCATTCATAAATATACATATATGTAATTAGACGTAAAAAGTTAGAGATACAATATGCATTGTTTGTAACATCCCTACATAAATGAAATATAAATTATTTTTCTGGTGAGAAATAACATTTTAAGATTTATACAATTTCCTAGCATAAATATAGTAGGGTTAAAGCTATAACGAGAATCCTTCTTCCATTTTAAATTCATTGATATAATAATTAAAATTAATGATTTAGTTATAGGTCAAGGGTGTCAAACTGACTTCCTCTCAGGTAGTACACCTGACCCTCGATTTACGTGGCACTTTTTATGCGGTCGTGTTTATGCGTGATCTGAATTTAGTAACACCGAATAAAAAGTACTTTTGTTTTTTGAAATGTTATTAATATTATTTTTTTGTTAAGTTATGGAGAATAAATATGTATTTTTAAAACTTATATCAGCTTTTCTTTTCAATATGTTGTTTTCTCTTGTACTGACAGGCTTTATTTATGCGATTTTCATTCGCGTAAAACAAATCCACGTGGAACGGATTTTCGGGTAAATCAAGGGTCAGGTGTAACTCCGACCTGTTATCCCCAGTTACCTCTACTCTAGGACCTGCTTGAAACTGCATACGTAAACAGCTCTATGTAGTGTTAAATACAAACAGGTGAAAGCATCTGAGTAGATATGGAGGTAACCCTCAGTGAAGGGAAAGACCTTAAAGAGGTTACGAGTTCTCAGTTCGACACCAATGTATAATGTATTTACATCACTCCAATCGGCAATCTTTCTGCCAAGCATGGATACGTCAAACACAATTGCAACAGTAAAACATGTATGAATTAATTTACTGTTTTTTGATATTATTTTATACTTATCTAAACATTCATAATTGTATTTCCTCTTTGAAATAAACAGTATTCATTTGGAACGCAGGCAGTTATTGCTACAATATTCTTGGAGTGATAAGGGTTAATGTCTTATCAAGCATTATCTCTCTCCAATTAATTTACAGTCCATATAATTATAAGCAGTACTTGTTTGTTTCATATTTATCGAATGAAAGAATATAAATGTCATTGATACACATTATTGCTACTAGTATCGCAGTGGTAACTCTTATATATGCTATCTTTTTTAGTTGAGATTCTTGTCCTATCTATGTCATAGTGCAGCCGGACCAACCCTTGAATTAACGTTAGTAGAAGGCACCGGACTTCCATGAATTTCCAGGTCAAATTCTGAATTTGACATACTGGTTCTCATAACTCGGTTCCAACGATTGCCATTCACGTTCACGTCGGGGGATACCCCGCACGCACGTAATGCTTCTTGTCGAATAATTGTTTCATTAGTTATGTATGCCTCGCGTCGAATTTGATCACGTAACTTTGGATGCATATCGGGAATGCACCATCGTATAAGTATCATTACAATAGCGACGATATTCTGTAAATATGAAATTTATTAATTCTAATTAATAATTTTATTTATTAATTCTATTTAAACAAACAATTTTTATTTTAAACCTAGTAAACATTCATATATCTTCTCTTGTGTTCCGCTATATAAATAAACAAATAATAAGGTATACATACCTCAAAAACGACAATGAAAGCTAATCTGGCAGCTAATACATGCCAGAACATAATTGTGTGTTCATATTTATTCATCGAGTCTGGTGGTTCTCTGTAATCTGGATACCTACATATCTTTATATCTTCTTGACCGGGTAAGGAAAATGGCGCAGTTCCATTTTTCAAATCACTTGTATCGAATTTCGAAAGAGAGTGTTCTAAAAATCCTTCCAAGGAATAATTCTCAGAAACGATCATTCGGTACACTAATCTTGGTATAAAATTTGATGTAAAAGCTATAATGAATGCCTAAAAAAGAAATATCATTTTTACATAAAAAATATCGGTTTCCGTAGATTATTTTATTCATAAATATCTCAGCTTACATTAGTTATGACAGCGAGTTTGGAAATGGAGTCGAGGATACGATACCATATACCTATATCTATAACACGCTGTCCAACTGGCCTTCTGTACATTGTTAATAATTTTTTTGCATCAAGTCGCATTTCGAAGACGTTATTCAACAATGCGAAAAAAGGCGCTAACGGAAATGCAGACACGAAAATGGTAACGAAACCATATTGTAATACTGCCATAAAGAAAAATCATAAAAAATCATAGAGAATGTTAAATAAAAATTAAATTTTCATAAAACTTCATGTAAGTACCCATTTCTAAATATTCTGGGAATAGACTTCTTGGACCCCATTCCACTAATTTATAGTCTTTAATCCATTGAAGATATTTTCTGGCAGTAGTTTTCCTTTCTCCATTGGTCGACTTCATTCCAACGTGTACTTTCAAAGTGTTCAACCACTTGTAAAATAGTGGATATAACATTTCCAATATTGTGTTCATCGCTTGTTTGCCGATCATAATAATGCTTAATTGTATACATAACTCCATGAGGCAGCCGCCAGGGCCGCATTCTTCTTGTCGATAATCAAAAAAGCGATTATATTTTCCTGGATATCCGACAAACTTTCCTTTGAAAAAAGCTATATAAAATATAGAAGCGTAATAATTTACAAATTCAAGTAAATAAATTTTTAATGTTAAACTATCATCGAATTCCGTTTGGGTACGAAGCAATTCAATCTGCGAAAGTGAAAAACATTTTTGTTACAGAAAGAAATAAAGTGTAAGAGATACGTGTTAGGTAATCAGTTTTCATTTCAAGTACCTCTGTTAAATATTCAGCCAACCAAACATACACCCAATTGAACACAATGATGCAACACAAATTAATACTAGCTGCAGTAGCTGTAGTAAAGAGTATTGCATAACTAGTTACCATGGGATGTCCATAAACACTTAACGCAGTTAACACAGACATTCTATACAGAACAACTCCTAATACGGCAGCCATGGCTATTGCTATCTACAATAAAATACACTTCTAATGTAAACTACTTTAAAAAATGGCGACTACTTAATTCTTGAGAGTTAATTAAAATGAACGCACCAATAATAAAACGACTGAAAAACTAAGGATTGTGGCTGGCACTCTCATTTTCCAAAACGGAACTTTCGGTTCTTCGGCATTTGTAATAATATTGAGGGACTTCTTTTTTATATGCGCTAAGCGTGCTAAGTACTGAGGTCGAGGATGTTCCTCTTGAGCATCTAAACCAGTCAGGTCCCATCTGTGAGTTATTTCAGCTGAATATCTCTTCCATAATTCCAAAAATAATGTAGCTGACAAGAAAATATACGAAATAGAAATAAATAATAAATAATAAAAAATGGAAGACAAAATAATATTCTTACTAGTAATACTCTGCAATAATACATACCCCATAATGACATAAATATAGAAAAAAAGACAGTAGACGGATTATCAAATAAATATGTAATTCTTGAATGCAGGCAAGTCTCTTTTAAATCCCAATATCTACAAATGTGGTCGCATAAAGGACACATTAAGATGGTACCATTACCATTGCAAACATCTTCGCTGGGCTCATTAGAATATAAGGTTGCACAACTATATATGAAACAAAGAAGACCAACAATGCTAGCTGGTATCAGCATATGTGTGTAAAATCCGAGCCAAGCGAAATAAAGCCCAATTTTTACTCCAAAATATTCTTTTATGTAATCCACCGGTTGATAATGAAGGCACTTTCTCAAGCTAGCCCACTCATTGTACAATAAATATCTCATGGATCCTGGTGAATGTAGGTCTCCCTGAAAAAAGAAAAATCAGTGCTGGACTTTTGAAAAATTTAAACAAATTCAAAACGTATACGATTGAATATTTAAATCCTGTACGGAGTACCGTTTTTGAATAATGTACTTTATCCTACGAAAACTAAATTATTATTTTATGACATCACAATAACAGCTTATTTCGGTGTGTCAGGTAATCATAAAAGCTATAACGAGGATCGTAAAAATACAGGTGCCTCGTGTGAGATATAAAGGGGTATATTACCATAACATTTAAGTGATAAATTAAAAAAAAATAAAATACCTAACTGCAGCTTTATTACCATCGGTGACCATATCGCGGAACGAACATAATTACGGAGGTACAATGAGAGACCAGGTGGTTCTATTGAACGCTTATACCTGAGTGGTCTGTTTGATAACTGTACCCTATCTATCTTAGGTCCACGAAAGCAGATTAGGGGAAGATACGGAAACCTATGGGCCGTCCTATGCCCAGTATAAAGTTGACCAATTGCATAAAAAAGAAAGGGCTCGTTCTTTTCAAATGTATTGTTTCCTCGCATGAGCATCGAACAGTGGATAAATACTTGTTTGTTTAAAAGATGTGAATAAAGATTGTTACCATGTATGAAACAATAAGAACTTTGCAGTTGTTAAGCTAGGGACGTCTACTTTCTGATAACGATTATCATTCAAAACAAGGTATGTCTAAAATTTTGCTTACATCGTGAAGTGGATATGCAGCGACGTATACCTTGTCCGAAATCAGCCTTTCTATTCCAAATGCAAAATCGTCATGCATGGTATCAGTAAATCTGGTTCTATCTAAAATAAACTGTACTATTCTAGCGCGCGTTGCAGCGGTAAAAAAGTTAGGCGCATTTACATCAAATAAATATTCTTTATCACGGCTATAAACCGCCGTGAAATTGTGTTTCAATTTCGGAAAGACTGTTTCATCGATATAATATTTTTTCATGATTCTATTGAATAAGGAATTAACTTCATTCATCAAAGCGTTGCTATGGTTTTCAGGAATTTTTTGGCTACTTAATTCCTTCATTGGCAGTCTAAGTTTTAATATTTCGGAATACCGTCTTAACACTTCTTTTGGTGCATGTATCTTTATGAAATGGAGACCGTTCGGTTCTGCTTGTTCGTATTCCATTTGTAAACCTTCCTTTTCTAAGTTCTTTTCAAACACCTACAAATGAGTAATGTTAAAAATTTACTTAAGTCACAATTAAGATTGAACTTACCCGTCTACACTCAATGCTGCGATATGTTTGGGCTTCGGTACTATATTCATCCCAAACAAGGATAAAGTCAATTGTACGAACTTCATCTTGGAAATATAAATTGAATGTTGTCCCAGAATTAGAAACCTATGAAAATATCAAATACATTTTTTATGACCTCTGGTATCAACATTTAATGTTTTGTTATACATATACCTGCAACTTACAACTCTAGAATCACTTCTATTGTTCCTTAAATTTGTGCAACTACCATCAATTACTGTTACATTACTTTCATTATTAAGAGGTGATTCATTGACATTGTCTGGATGCCGAATTTCTTCCATTGATATTGCACTATGCATACTGCTTGAACTAATTACACTTTCAACATCATACAGGGTATTGTAAACACTTTGATACAAAGTCTCCAAAGACCCTATATTCAAATTACTTTGTATCGATCGATAAAGACTGGCGTCAGGTGTTTCACTTTTATCCTTTTGTATCCAAGGTATGGAAACTTCTTCATCGTCTTCTTCCATTTTAATTCAATAGATCAATACTCAAACCCTACTTATTTGAATCAAACAACGTATACTACATGCAAGCCAAATAAAATTTATACATTATGAAAAATGCATATCGTTTGTAAATTTTATACTACAATTTATAATTCATAAAAATAATCTACAGAAAATTAATGGGTGACCGAGATCTACAATAAATTTTTATTGGACATAAGGGAACTAATAGCGATTCAATTTAACAAAACAAAAAATATAATAAAAGTTTCAGTTGAATGTTCATAATTTACTACATATATTAGAAATGCAACTTGCATGTGAAACAGAATTTATTAACGAAATTGTTACTTTTTATTTTACATTCTAACAAACATACTTCTTACTGAACGTTCTACATGTAAAGCAAATAATAAAATACACAGTATTCTTACAGATCTTTCATCGTATCTTCATAGAGAAATCTTTGGTTCCGGATGTAGTTAAGATATAAGGCAGGAAATTATTTTACATCCGTTCTTATATTGTAGGTCCATTTTGCGTACTTTTGTTTAACCTCTCTTTTTATAAGAATTCTGACACGTGTTTTAATTGAACTGTTAGATTTATTACATTTATATTCATACAAATGTTCACTAACTATAATAAATATATGGTCCAGAGGTGAATAAGTGAAGCATGAGTTGATAAATACGTCATGCGTGCGGGAATTGCAATACTATATAGAATTACAAAGAGCAATATACGCTAAATGATCACGTGGACAATATGAAGTAATAATATAATAAAAGAATTTACAATGAAATCTACACGTAACGAGGAAGTGTAAATAAAAATATGGTATGTAATAAATTACAAACAATTTTTGGAAATGTTAATAATAAATTCTATGAAATTATATAATTTAGTTATTTATAACATACATGTTACTTTATTCTTTCAATTATTAAATACAGACGGAAATGCTTTATGTAAGAAAATAATAGTATTAAAATTATTCTTTGGTTTTATTATAAAGATTTCAGTATTTGCAAATAATTCATTGCTGTTAATAAGAAATAACATATATATCTTAATAACTTAAATTACAGCTTATAATTGTTGCAATAATACAGGAACTTATGAAAACAAAGTATATTTTACATTTTCTATACATTATATAAACGTTTAGTTATACTGTTTCTTAATTCAATCAAGATTAAACATATTTCTTTTAATATGTACAGTTATAATACAAATCATACTTCTTGCATAACTAAGGAATTCAGTTCATCTTCTCCTGGACATAAGACCGAGTCAATGTTATAGAAAGCAGCATGTAGAGTTATCAGAAACCAGGATACACCTAAAATATAATTTATCAAGTCATTCTATATTCATAGAAAATTTAAATTTGAATATATTTATTTCATTTACCGAGAACCCAGAAAAGTGCTGCGCCAGCACCTACTAAATAAAATATTGGCAACGAGCAGATTCCAACTAAACTGTATACCTGTGCCAATGTTAGTTTATGATTTAATATTGTGAGTTCTTGTTTAGCATGTCGCTGTGAAACTTTGTAACATGTTCCAAGAGATGCTGCAACAGTCAGCAGCAAGAGCGGTGATGTTATCCTAACATTTCATCAACATTATTTCCACAATTGCATTATTTCACAATAAAATGAACAAAAATAAGAACAAATCTTACAAGCAATATATAACTAGTCCAACAAATACGAATAAATAATTACTCTGGAAATATTCAATATTCCTCATAACTCTTTTACTTAATCTCTGCAAACTTGGTGGTGGTCTAATGTTATTTGTGTTGAGAAACACAGACCATGGTCTAATGTTAGCTTTCCGATGTTCAATCCATTCATGAGCCTGTGGATAGCCTATGTGACTAAGTGGCAGTTGTGGTATTTGCAGAAATTCGAGTCTAAACATGAAAATTGCATCATTCTATAGACTGTCAACAATATGTTTACTGTAATCCATATTGCATATTTCAAACATAAAATCTATTCATACAGAAACTATATTGTTCTTCGAAAACATGATTTATTTAACCCTTTGTACTTCAAAAGTACCTCTCAGTCACCACTCGATTGGTACATCGAAATTGTAAAATTTCATATTTAATATCAAGTCTTGAGTAATGTGTCGATACATGAAATGTGGAATACTTTTGTTCCCCTTATTTCATGAATAGATTACTCGTTAAATTAGTTTAAAAAAATGTCATCTATATCTCATAAAAATAAATTGAATATTTCTAGTAACAAATTTTTGGAGTGCAATGGATTAATGAATGTCTGATATGAAGAAAAGCTGTTTCAAAGGGATTAAACAAAACATGTCATTGAGGTAGAAACACAATTGTTGATTCATTCCCTTGTAGGTTAGTAAACATCTGGGAGTTTCGTTCATAAAATCAGTGTATTACCCGCTGCCAGATTTTTGTTTCTGTTGGGGCATATGCATGTCACCCGCGACCTCGATTTCCACGTCTGCCATCCTCTCTTCTACCGTTCGGGTCTTTCAAAAGTGATTACCGCGTGACAAGAAAGCGACTATCCTCTGTTTTGCTTTTTTTTATGCGAAGCCTTGCATCCCCACCACGAGGCAACGTCTGCAGCCTCGTTTTAGAAAAAACCCGTCGTAGGCAGTAAAATTCCCATCATATCACACATCGAACTACTATGTTATCCCCACCATCAGGAGTCGCTGACACTAACACATAGCCGTGCGTCCGTGTGTACAAACGCTACAGGTTGCAGCTGCTCGATAAAAATTCTTTCACTGCCTCCTTCGTAAAACTTCTTTCACGAAAAGGGCTCTTTGTCTGGTTAAGGTAAACGACGCAACAGATTTTTCCTGGTTCACGTTCGCTCGAATGCTTTGAATTTGGACGGTATTAAAGGGAATAATTTTTCCTTGCTTTTTTCGGGTATGTTATATACCATATATACTACATGCTATTTTTTTCTGTACAATGGAACGCTTCTCGCAAGTTAAATATTTTCTGTCGTTTGACGAGAAATCAGAATACAATCTAGTACTTGTCTGAATTTCGTCACCTTTAAAATTAAATATAAACATTTTATTTTATATTTAAATTCTTTGAACGAGGTAATTGGTATTAATTTCAATTTATTGCATTCAATTATTTCGCTCGAATTTTTTAATAATATTAGCCATTTTAAGCACGTTTACGATTTCCTCTATTTTTCTGCTTATTTCATCTTATACGTATATTAGTAGTAATCTCGTGTATTAGTGGTAAACCGATTTACTAATAGTATTGTAAAACATAATTTTATATGTTGCAGCAGGCATATGAAAATATTTAAATGGTGAATGAGATCATCGTTGTGGAGAAGGCAGAGTCTGTTTCTACTGATAGTCCATTGGGAGATCATCATCGTTTATTTTAAAGCGTCCTTCGATCCCCGGTCGGATTTTCAAAGAAATAAAGCGTGACACGAAAGTTTTTAGAATTTCTCTGCGAATGGTCCTCGCTCCTTGAAAAGTGCGTGCAGATGACGCTACGATGTACGACCATTGTGAGTAATCAGGGCCAATAGGAGAACGTGTTACATCGAATTCAATAGTTCCCAACCTCTAACGTGATCCACGATTGGCCTCTCGTAATTTTCCAAGTAACATCGGGCCACCCGCCATAACGAACGTAGCGTGGTACGAGCGATTGTTTGAATGAACGTGTTTCAAACGTAATTGCTAAATATTTCTAATTAATACGAATTTCAGCTTAGCACAGAAAGTGCACACGGGACAGTTGGATGCACAGGAACTTAATGTGGACAGTTTGAAGCTATGGAGATCGCGCAGAAGCTGCATTTTGAGGCATGCGACATTCAGGACGAGGAGTTGAACATCAGCTGTCGCACGAACAGCTCTGGTTGTGATGTTGATGATATTTTAGATTCTTCGGCCGAGGATCTTGGATGTTCACCTCCGCTACAACCAAGGAAATTGTCGTTTAGTAATACCATGGACTGTAGTGACAGTGAAAGTAATCAAACCGTGCTAATCAATAACAACAAAACTCCAGTCAGCAACATCACAGGTTAGCGGTATATTTAACTGGTTTGTTGCCCTTTGTGGTTTGCTTTTCTTAGTTATCCTGATTGAAATATATTCCTAAAGGTACTGTTTACTATCAGTTATATTTTACTTTTAAATGTATTTCGATTAATACTTGTAAAGTAGTTCTAGAAACCTTAATGGTCTGGAATGCTTCGAGGTGCTTGGTACTAGTATTGTTATATATTGGGTTTGTTTGTTGTAATTTCTTTTATAAATTTTAACTTTGAATAGAAGTTTGTATGATATACTAAATTGTTGATGTAGATTATTTATTTTAGTAATGTCTGATCATAGTACTATTGATTTTACTTCGGATTTGTTGTAGTCTGATCTTTTATTATTATTTATTAATATATATATAAACTGTTTTTTAGCTAGCGATAGTTATGCATGATGTAGGAAAATTGATATTACTATTAGGCAATTATTTTGCATCATGCATAGGTGTTTTTGCTTAAAATGTGTTGAGTAGTCAGTAAATGTAATTAGACTGTGTACTGATGTTATCTCAGACTTTTCAATTTTTTGTGTCTGTTTCTTTTACTGATTGAAAATAACTAAATTATGTTTTACATTCAGCAATTGAATAATATAATTTTTATAAAATTAATATAAAAGCTTCTCAGAATGCATATCTGCATTCATGTTTATAAGAATTCCATTTTACTTCATGTTTTTAATTATAATTTAAGCAAATGTAAATGTGCATTTCTAAAGAAATCGTTAATTAAAATTGTAATATTCAATTAGATTAAATTAGTGTTTAAAGTAAAAATAATGAATTCTAATATACAGCATTTTTATTATTATACAGGATATACCAAGTGTAACAGTTACATTGTCCCAAATTTCTCCAGTGATCTAATGACAAAGTATTTAAGATAGAAGTTTGTCAGTTTTTACTCAGTTATAAGCTGGACTGAAACAAATTTTGAGAAAATCTCTTTTTTGGACGAAAATAAAATTCATCCTGACTTTTTAAAGTGGCACTATGTATCTTTCACATGAAAGTGTTATAGTTCATATCAAGATGAATTTAATGACTTACTAAACTGTTATTTTCAAATGATCTTAGGTTCAGAAATATGGTATTAATGAATGGAATAGAATCAAATCAAATCCTCAAATTTGATACCAAAGAACTGTTTTTATAGGATTATCTACAATCAGCACTGTACACTTTAAGTACAAACTAAGGAGTATTTAAAACAATGAATTAAAGCTGCATGTTAAGAAGTTCGTCGTATTATGCCTTGAGAAAATGGATTACAATTAGAACATTGTTGTAATTTTGAGCTGTAGTTTGTATAAAATTTAATACAAATACAATTACTTTCTAGGATCATGTTCTTGTTCATTAATTCCATATTTCTGAACTCAAGATCATTTGAAAGGCATAGTTTAGTAGGTAGAATTTGTCTCGACATAAGCTACAATATTGTCACTTTGAAGATACATAATGCATTTAAAAAAATCAGGATAATAATTTTTCGAAGATTTTTTCGAAATTTTTTTCTAATGCAAATTATGGTCAACTGAAAACTGATAAACTTTTGTTCTAAACATTTTTTCATCAGATTACCAGAAATGTTTGAAAAATTTTAATAAGTATTATGTAGAACATTCTGTGTACATATTAATTTTTAACCCTTTACACTCAGAGCATTTAACATTGCATTCAAAATGTCTCCCCTGAAGAGATTTTCGAGTGCAAGGGGTTAAAGTTTATGTCACTGTTAATTCTTCAAGGATTATTCAGATATCATTGAATACAAGGTGGAAAGAAATGTTTGATCTTGGTTATCAAATAGATGGATTCTGGTTGATCACATTTTTTCAATAGACAAAGTTTTCTAAAAAACATTTTTCCTATGACTATCCTGACTAATCGATATTTATGTACCAGAAAAGGACATTGAATGTTGTGTTTCTTTATTTTACCATGAAAATGTAAACAGCAGTTGACAGGTGAACCAATCATTTCGAACTCCACAGTTTCTTTCAGATTATTTACTTACCTTTACAATGAGTATAATAGGATGCAGTGGTACAAAATTTGAATCCTTTTTTTTTTAAAGTTAAAGAAAGTTCTGTGGCAACTTACATTAATTTTCATCAAATCAAATCTGTGATAGCCAGAACCAAATGCTTCCTTCCATACTGCACAGATAAATAATAATTTATAATGTAGAGAATGGTAAAAAATATTTTTTAGATAGTGGAAGTAATTATTTTTGAAACTTGTTCTCAAAAACGAGCATGGAGTGTTATATTCTAGCATGGTCGAAGAGAATAACTTGAAATATTCTATTTAATTTTTCTATTTTTAATTGTAGGTACATCTAGAATTAGGATTCCCCCTCGTGAGAATGTAAACTCACAAAAAATGTCAATGGCATGTAGTCCACCTTACAAGCGTGTTCGAGCCTTGCGTTTATTCGACTCCCCTGCAACTCCCAAAACCTTAATGGAGAAAAGCGCAATGCATACTCCATTTCCTTCTAAATGTACTAGACTATTCTCGTTAGACAAACCAAGACCCTGTAATTACCAAAACAAAACTGACAAACCTGCAGCGAATGTAAATCCTTTTACACCGAACGGAATGCTGTTAACTGCAAGAAAGCGGACTAGATCCAAGCGTAGTCTTAATGGGTCAGTAATGAACATATTGAAAGTAAGCAGTCATTAAATTTCATTTGCATGTACGATATATAACTCCTACTTTTTTGTATTTTATATTAGCTCACCTGATATACAAATTCCAAAATTTGATCTCGCCGATTCTGACGACTCGGATAACGAGGTAGAACAAGCAACGAAACGTGTAGCGTTACAGGACTCTAATATTCCCAGATACCATCAAGAGTTCCATGAACTTGGATTGATCGGTACAGGGGAATTTGGTTCGGTTTACAAGTGTATAAACCGACTGGATGGATGCACTTATGCCATTAAAAAAAGTATTAAACCTGTCGCTGGAAGTATTAACGAGAAAAACGCTCTGAACGAAGTTTATGCGCACGCTGTGCTCGGCAAACATCAACATGTAGTTCGATACTACTCAGCCTGGGCGGAGGATAATCATATGATTATTCAGAACGAATATTGCAATGGCGGTAGTCTAGCGGATGCCATTGCTAACTTACTAAAGGAGAACAAACATTTCACCGAGGCAGAAATGCGACAACTTTTACTACATGTTGCTGAAGGCTTGAGATATATTCATAGTATGCAGTTAGTTCATATGGACATCAAACCTGGGAACATTTTCATCTCGAAAGAGAAAAGGCTACTCGCGGTTAATTACGACTCTGCGGACGACGGATTCGACGAAGAAGAGACCGTTGAAGAAGAAATTACGTATAAGATAGGAGATTTAGGTCACGTTACGTCTGTTAACAATCCCCAGGTCGAAGAAGGAGATTGTAGATATTTACCAACCGAAATTTTACGAGAAGACTTCAGTCACTTGCCGAAAGCTGACATTTTTGCACTGGGTTTAACTGTTTATGAAGCAGGTGGTGGAGGTCCATTGCCAAAAAATGGACCAGAGTGGCACGATATCAGGAATGGAAACTTGAAAGAATTGCCACAGTATAGTCGTGACCTTAATGAATTGCTTAAAGTGAGTGTTTCTACTGTGGTTTGTTCAGGAAATGGCGAGCAAAACGAAGGCGAGTTTGAGTGGTCGAAACAGGGGAGAGTTCGCACATTGTCTCACGGATTTCGGCTTTATCTTGTACTTTACCGAAACGGTCACATATGTTAAGTCCGTTGTGTCACGCGATGCACAAAGCGAAAGATCCCGCTTGTCCCTTTGTTATCTCAGTCGCTAACTCCTGAGCAAACTACAGTACTGTAGGGAGATCACTTGATGGCTAGGCTGAGAACAATAACTAAGGAGGATAGCAATTTATTATTTATGGGTACGATTACGCGTAATCAATCAGAATTATGAAGAAAATGTACAATGAAAGACACCTCTTGCGCTTCTGCTATCTAGCTAGACATCAAATCATCCTACAGTAAAAAATATTTGATGAACTTACGTAGTTCATGATTTCAAATGAAAATACCTTATTAACCGTTTGAGTGTTGAAGAATTTTCTTGGATATGTGCTAAAAATGCAGAATTAAATGCGTAGTTTCGTTATTTGGAAAAATAATAAAAACGGTAATAATTTAATCTAATTAGGTATATATTGTATAAAAAGTAGTTTTTACGAACAAACATTTTTTATTTTCACTTATTACAAGGGGAAAAAAGCATATTGAAATATTTAGTTGGTTTCGAATCGAAAGCAGAAGCATGTTTCGGACCGGGTACCTCAGAAAAATTATTCGGTTCATTCGAGAATGTTGTGTTTACAGGCAAACATTCATCGATATTATCGATGCTATCATTATTATTACTAATAATTCGTAATCTTTTACAAGGGATGATAATGTCACTTCTGCTATCACTTTCAAAATCATTACTAAACACTTCACCATCACTTCTCATATCATAGTCATAGTCACTTTCAGATAAATCAAGATTAGACATTGTGCCTTTGTTAATTTAAAACAGTTATTTCAGAAAAACACAAAATAATTTTTAATTTTTATATTATTAAAAACCACAATTGATACGAACACGACCGCTCTCAATGAATGCAAAAGTTGTACTGACAAATAGTAGCGTGATGGCGCTCCTTCACATTCAAACGGTTAACACGTTAAATGCCAAGTCTATTTTGTTTGTCGTTCCGTTCACGCTGCATTCTGTCGTCAAATGGAGACGGCAGTGTGATGCGTAGCATAAACCTAAGTGCTATGACCGGTTCATGGGAACCGACGCGGCGTTTAACGTGTTAAGTATTATTAATGTTAATACTAACGGTTACAAAAGAAATTTATTAATTTATAATCCTTTGATTTTAGCTAATGATTCATACGAACCCGGAAATGAGACCTTCGGCAGTGTGCCTCATTCAACATAGAGTACTATGTCCATTCGGAAATAAAACAAAGGCTCAACTTCGGCGAGAACTTAACGCAGAGAAGCTGAAAAATGAAATTTTGTCGAAACAGCTTCAAGAAGCAGCGAAGTGCTTGAAAACTATAGCACCAAATGTAGCAGCCATTAATGGTTCACTAAACGCTGGCGGAGGCTATAAGTTGAGACCAACGCCAACCAGAACATCAACTCGGGTTGTGGGTAAAAAGGTTAATCGAAGTAATAGCACTACGAATTTTTGAACGTATTGTGTTACATTTTCCGGACTAAACGAGGGACAAGGAGGAGTAAAGGTGCTTAAGGAATACATGATTCTTTTAAGTGCCTTGTCATTGTGATATGAATTAACATTAGTATATAAGTAAAAATATTGAACGATATTTGATGATACGGGAACGCAAAAATGATATGCAGAGTGAAATTGCATGAGTCATGGGTAAACTTTCTTGCCACGATGAAGGTACTGTATTGCTAAAACAACCGTGAGCCTTGAACAGGTAACTTTACAATTAATTACATCTCATATTGCATTTGCTATTTAAAATTCATAGATGGATAATACAGTAATTTGATACTGTTACTCTGTGTATATTATGTTTGATGTTTTTTATGCGAGATAGGAAGTAGATACTAAAAAGTGTAAAAAGTCTACTTCTTTATCAATGCAAGAATACTTTTACCTGCATAGATACCTATGTGCCTTAAATGTTCTTGTTATAAACTTCTTTTTTACTTTCTTCATACGATTTCATTATATACATGTACATTTTGCAATGTTTCCTCTTTGTTGTTCTATCAACAGTATTATGAGAAGAGGCGTATTAAAAAGAAGTATGAAAGTAAATACTTTTAACGTCGGTTATTAGTTAATAATTTGACACATCATCGTGTGATACTTGTTTCTTTCGATTCTTATTTGAGAATCGCTGTAGCGAATAATCGGAAATACTAACCAGTAGACTGCAACAAATTATTTGTTACAAATACATCGTATTTTTATATATATAGATATTTACATATAATAATAACTCAGTGTTGTATATCGTCTAGTAGTTAATTGCTGGTACGTCTGTATTATCCATCGTTTGTTATCAGGTTCTTGTCGAAACGTTTAGTTCATTAACTTCTTTTTCTTCGTTCGTATTAAAATCTATCATGACCAGATGAAAGACTGCCATTTTAAACGTGTGAGTTAGATTTTATACTGTTTTGCAACATGAATTTCATAATAGATTTTAAAGTCGTATAGCTTTGAATACAATAACGGAAAGTATTGATATTATACACTACCTGCATGTACAATATAAATTCTTAGTAATGTAAAAAAATACTCGCATTTTAGTACTGAGATTGATAGCTAACATTATTAGATCTTCATCCGAGCATACTTCCTAGCCCTAAAAGTTAAAATTTCACTCTGTGTATACTTTCTACAAAAAAAAAACTAACTACTCTTACAGATCCCAACTGATTAAAGAGTGACCCATTGAACGTAAAATGTTTTAAGTTTAAATTATTTTTATACTATTTTTTTATAGTCCTATATTATCTTTGGCATGCTCTAGAATTCGTATTATACAATTTTCTTTCGTGTTTTTATTATATATAATGAATAAATACTGATGTATAGTAATCCGCGTTCCTAGGATAGATGGTACTACTACGATTAGGTGTCCCTTGTTTTACTTACTAATATCAAATTTTCAAAGAAGTGCATTAGATTTCAGTTATCAAATATGTATTCAATCTCAAAAGTATTGCATATTGGACGAACAATTCATAACGTTTTTTTACTTAGTTTTCTTTTTGTAACAGAATTTGTTTCTCAATCAGGAATGTCTAAATAGTTTATCGGCACATTGTGAAGGTTTGTATCAAATGAACGCATTTCGTGAATATTCTTGTTCCTCGGTGAAGCTTCGGTTAGACGCTTTACATGTAAAATTATTCACTTTATAGCTAATAAAAAGGAATCAAAGTTCTTGTACCTTAATTTAACATTCTCTAGTGTCACTGAGCATGCTAATATGTGATCTTTTATATATTTGCATTACTAAAACATTTCGATATTTATATTATAAAAGAAAAAAGAAAAAAAAAGAAAAAATATATAGCATGTGTAATGCGATGCATTACAGTTTAGAGAGTGAACAATCGAACAGAAAATCTGGGTAATATTTTTTTTCTTAATATCATTAGTATTTTGTTGTAGTTTGTGCGTTACAAACTACGTCTTTATTTTTCGTACGAATTTGGTCTTTGAACTAAGTCCATTGAAAATTTTCATGTTACATTATCAAAGTGTTAAAGGTAATGCGATCAAATGTTAATTCCCTAAGTCTTCTAACTTATGTGTAACCTCGTTTACAAACCAATGTTATGTATTTAGTGATAGACCGCGCTATGTATAAAAGTTAACAAAGTTTTTTGTAAGAAAAAATGTGAATAATCGATAAAGGAGCGGTTTTAGCTTCTATTTGTGTGTGTTGTGTGTGCCAAACGGGTGGACCCCGACTTATGGCAGTAAAACAAGTGGTATTGTGCCACATTTACATACACTGTGAACTGTTGTTTCATTAATCTTATTATTAATATTATTATTATTATATTATTAATATTATTACAATAAATAATAATTAACGAGCCAATTTTCTATGGTTATTTATTAATCTATATTATTATTACTGCTATTTTCACGAAGATAGTATCACTATCAATGATAATACATATGTTTCTACTTTCTTAATAATTTATACAGGTAAATATAAAAGTATAAATCATTAAAAAATACCAGTATAGTTAAATTTTGGATTCATTGATTCTATCTTTCATGTTTAGTGTTTAGGTAATCAGTAACTTATGTAGAATTTTCGTAGATTTTATTTACTTTCATGTATTCATTATTCAGAATCATAATATTAAAGATATTTATTTACATTAATAAGAGTTTATCTTATGTTTATATTTTTTAAATCTTAGATATTCCATATATAATATTATTTTAAATAATTAAAAAGATATTTCCTGGGATAAAAAGTTTGATGAATGTGTAAGTATAGTCTTTTATGTACTGCAAGTAATTTAACACATTTTTTAAATAAACTTCAATATTAATAGCAATATTCAAACTTGAATATTTTAGGAGAAATATTGAATTTAATCACGCATGCGTGATAAACCGAAAGTTGATAGTACTTCCTTGTTTATTCACCTTTGATTGGGATGCAGTGAAGACTGTCGCATTATTTGTTTTCGACGTTTAAACCGAATGCAAGGATAATCCGAAAATTAATCGTTTACACACATTTTCAAGTATTTTTTAAAAGAATATTAACGAATAGTGATGAATATAAATCTTAAATTTATTTCTTGTAATAATTGAAATATTTTTTAGAAGCAGACAATACGAATTCGAACATCTGTCAGTGCAAAACAACGTGTAAATACATGTAACAATTACATTTCAGAGATTTTAAATAAAATTTAATTAGCACAAAGCACTCTTATCTTGTATAGTTTCTTGCAATTGCATAAAATTTCGAGAGAAGTGACATGAATATCAAATTCCATTTATAAATAAGTCACAATTATATTTCAGTACATGCTATTTTATATTTCATTGCATTAGAAAATGTACTGATAATGCTTTGACTTAAGTGCATCTATTCTGTAATATGTTATTAATCTTCCGTTAGAATTATTAAGTCAAATATTTTCGCAAATAATTCAGTGGTAAATATTATAGTTTATAAGAGAATGATTTTAGGTACTGAATTTAATATTTACAATAAGAATAATATAGAAAATAAGATGCGTTTGCTTCGTTTAATTATAAAATTTTAAGCATGTTACAATAGGATTATGTAGAAATATAGTATTTCATCCAAGCCTGCACGCACAAAATCTTTTAAAGGTGACTGCATGAAATGTTCCTAAAGAAGATCCAGAAAAAACTGCTGCATTTGGCTGAACTTGTTTGTAGGCCTAACAATATGATTTTTATACAAATGGTTCGAATCTTTTTTTATTGTTATTAACACTATTCATTGTAGAAATCATATTTCAGTTTATGTACTTTAGTGATTCACATATTGAAATCATAATGATAATAAATTTTTTTTAATTATTTCAGGCATGTATTAAATTAAACAACAATGTACATAAAAGTTATAGAAGAAGGACAACAAAAGAAAAAGCAAAATGAACTTTTATATAGATATGGATATTTTTTATCAATGCTTTTGTGTATGGTACTCGCATCTATTAGACCACATTTGGGTAAAACAAATGGTACTTGTAATCGAATACTGGTCTTTATAACAATTTGCAATGCAGCTTTTTCATGTTGTGTATTATAGGTGTTTTTAATGGAAATATTATAATTCGATATTTTGCTGTGCCTTTAACATACCTAGAAGCAGGGTTAATATGTAATCCTAAATCATTGTATTTAACATTAAGCAATGGTCCCCTCGTGATATTTACAATGTTTTTTATATATGTTTTAATGCCATTTTTGATGAGGCTGGGAGTATGTCTATTAACATATGCAAATGTTAATATGTGGCTGTTAAAGGGAATGGAAGTAAATAAAGAAAAATATTTTCTTTACAGAATTCAATTGAGTTCAAATCTAAGTACATTGATTATTATGAGTCTCTGTTTGTAGGTACTTTATTGTATGCCACCCCCATTTAATACAAGCCTTGTTTTATGTCGACTAGCACAAGCAGATTTATCAACAAGCATAGTAATAACTTTGATTTCTCATTTTGGAGGATTATTTATATCTCCAGTGTTACTGTACTTTGTGGTAAATTATATTTACTTTTATTATTCAATTTTATTTATAATGGAAAATGAAATTTTCGTTTGTATCAATTGTTGTAGTGAAAATATGTTTCTGTTACAGTTAGGAGCATCTACGCCACCTCTGGTTGGTGTAAATATCAAAGAAACTATTTGTAGCACAATCATACCATTAACTATTGGTATTGCGATTCAAGTGTATATTTTGAAATATGACTTCTGTTTTAAAATTAAATCACCATGGTTTTCTCAAGGATTATTATTAGCTACAGCGTACCATTGGTTTTGTGATGCTGTTTCAGTGGATGCATCTTCACTGCAAGCTAGTGATGTATTATTATGTGTAGTAATCGGTGAGTGTATTTCTGTTAATCATAGTAACATATTTCTGTTGCATGCCTTTAGTTGGTTGATACTTAATAAAATATTATTAACTTAGTTACATATATGTTATATATATATATATATGTAAGCACTTAAAAAAGTACTACATGCATGGTACTTCTCAGTCCCCTATGATATTATCTTTTATGTTCAAGCTTGCGTGGGACAACTATTTGTTAGCTGTTTGTGTTGGATATTGTGCTCTCGATGGTTACCCCGGGACATCTTACTAGCTGCACTTTTTACAAGCACTCACAAGTCAGTTGGTCTTGGCAGTTGGGTTTTGCGTGGTGCTTACCATGGTTCAGCAAATGGCCCAGCAGTAAACTTACCATTGTCTGTTCTACCAGTTGCACAATTATTGTTAGGTAGTTTGTTAGCTAGTTGGCTGTCCCCATAATGTGAATATTACGTATCTTCGAATTATTTTCTATTAAGGTAGAGTGCACGTTTTGTATTTAATTCTGATAATTTTTTAAAAATAATCTTTTAGTTGCAGTGTAGTCATATTACACATGAAATGAACGTTAATAGTTAACATTACTGGTTATAGCAATTTTAAATTGGAAATTCTATAAAATGTTTTATTATGTATTAGTAGATCATGGAAGAAACGGAAAATTATTCGTGTGTTGCAATCGTTATCTTGACCAAGAAAATGACAGGAATTGTATTAAATATTTTCCATTTATTTCTGTTTAACATAATAAATAAATTTTTTAGCTTTATTTATTTAACTAATAATGAAATGTATATATATCAAAATGTACTATTAGAAATGTCTTACAGTTAATTTCTTCAAAATGCAGTATCGCAGTATCCAATAATAGTAAAACAATATCTTCACGTTTCATATACTATACTGCACAATTGACTTAGAAGCTAATATTCAAGTTTGAAAGACATAGAACAAGATTTCTTAAAATAGATTACGATTATAAAATACAAGTCTTTAGAGAATTTTATGCAAATCATATTTATGTTATTTATAATTTTTTTCATTCTGAAAAAGTAGCATACTTAACGAAATACTGGGTAGGTGTTTACTCAAAATTATTTTCAAAATGTATCAAATAAGTTTATTTATATGTATAACGAAATGCTGACGATGTTGAAACATAGTCTGTGATTTTTTTTTCTAAGATTCACGTAAAATGTATACGTGCCGCGTTTATTGCAGAATTTAATACTTACCTTGGAAACTAATCTTAAAAATTTTCATGTAACAATTATATGTATATTACTATTTTTCAGTGTATATTAAAACAACTAGTGTAAAATTATGCACGAATAAGCTTTGTTTTCCAATTCTAATCAACTTAGTTTTCATTTGACAATTGATAAAAGGAAATCATGACAATTATACATTACACTGTACATCATTACAGGAACAATCTTTAAATATTACATCAAGTGAAAGTAAAAAAAAAGAGAGAGAAAGAAAAACCAAAAAAATTACACTACTTCGAAGCGTTGTACGCTATTATCTTATGTAGTAGTTATAATAAATTGTATTTGTATCTTACAAGTTATAAATATAGTTTCCTCACTTTCGATTGTAAAACTTCTGAAAATTATAAGTATTCTACTTATTCCTAAAAGTCTGGCTACTGTTTGTTATAGACTTATATCTTTTAAAGAAATAACAATAGACGACAATTTGTCATAATTCTATACGTGAAAGAAAAAGGACTTCGAATTCAGAATAAGATGTTTCCCATACAAAACATAGCGATTTTATTCTACAAATAATGGGATAAATTTGGTTAATTTTTTGTTTTGTTTGTTGTTGGAAACTTGCATATCAGTTTTCTATTTTGTGACACGCAATTCGTTACGGTATATACTTTCTTCATTTTTTATACCGTTATAATGCGCACACGCATATATTTAATAATATTAACAAATAGTGTAACACTCATGATAACGTGTATGAGCTTGTAACCTGACTTTTTCGTGAAAACCATGGCATTTAATGCATCAAACGACGGTGCAGCAGTGGCGCAGGCGCTGAGCATGTATTGATTCGCCCAGATCATCACACTCATTGTAGCTGGTATTAAGTTCTTGTCACGAACAACGCTGACGCTGCTATCGCCGCCAGCTACGCGATTCGCCATCTTCATCCTCCTCTTCCTCGTTTTCTTCGAGAAGTAATGCTTCTGCGTTTCCCTACAATAATTACAAATTTATAGCCATCGTTTGTTTCATTCAGTTTTATTTATCATGAAAGAAAATGAAGAACAAGAAATCGTAATTTCATAATGGTAAGAATTATTGTAGTTAACAGTAGCATTATAGATACTTAAGAAGTAAAGATATTTCTGACTTAAGAGGTAAAGAAACTAATTTTCTTCAGAGATAAAATATGTAAAGTCAAGTAAACGTAGTAAAATGAAAAAGAATACTTAATCAAGTATTATAATGCCGCGCTAGATTTTAAACTTTTAAGAACTTACTTCTAAATCAATTTCTTCGTCAGTGGTGGGCGGTGCTTGCTCAGAACGCGAAGAAAGTTGTACAGATGAGTTTGTATTGCTACCACCTCCGCCACGATGTAAATGATGCCCGGAGACCCATGTAATAGACAGTAATCTATCCTGAAATGTGCGTCCCTTTACTAAAGCCACCTCGGCCTCTTTTCTTGACTTGAAATTAATCACAATTGAAGGCGTTGCGTCATCCACTATTTGATTCACTATTTCTCCGAATTGCTGAAACACAACGAATGCAAAACAATTAAGATACGATTCCTTGATTGCGTAGAAGGCATAAAAACTGATTCTTACTTGAAAATGCGCTAAAACTTCCGCCTTTTCTTCGGTTTCATAACCAGAGACTAGAAGACTCGTCGGTCTGTGATCTACCGAAACATGGGCAAAGCTCCCTCTACCACGTCCCCTATATGATATCGCGTGGGCACCTCGTATAACTCTACTTGATCTTGTACCCCTACCGACAGCCGGACCTGCATTCAGACCCAATGCAGCAGCTTGAGCTCGTAGTTCGTTTAGTCTTTTCTGCAACTCTCCGGCGTCTTGTCCCTCTTGTTGCGCAGTCATCAGGTCTAACTCGGCGTCCAAGATCTCTTTCTGAGTTTGTTCTCTAGATTTTACTTGAGTCTTGTTTCCGCCGATTTGGCCGTTCGCGGCTAAATCTTTCCGTAAATTGTCGATGGACTGTTGCATAGTCTTTATCGTTGCCATGATGGCATCCTTTTGTTCGGGATTCTTTTCAGCTTTATCAATCAATGCTCGTATTTCTATCAAATGCTTGTCTAATAATTCCTGTTTCCTTTTACGTAAGTCAGCGGTTAATTTTAATGCTTCTTTACGTTTTTCCTCTTGTTTCTTCTTTAAGGTTTCCTTAGCGGCTAAAATTTCTTGTGTCTTTTTTATTGCAAGAACTTTTTCTTCCCTAGTAGGAACAGTAGTAGTTTTCGGGGATGTCGGGACCAAATTTTGCGTGACCTGCTGCTCCTCGGTTGAACGACGAGTAGGAATATATTCGTTATCTTCAGTTTTCGCTGGTGTAGTTACAGCAGCACCCAATCGTTCTTTTACGGAAGGACGACAGCCTAAAAAAATAATATATTTTATATAATATACAATACTCAACATATAAACACTATAACGTTTGTTTCAAGGAGAGCATAGAATATATGGATTTATGTTATAAATGCTTACCTGGGGGTACATTTTCAATGGCGCCACCAGATGCGTTATTATTAACATTGTTATGCCAAAACACTTTGATAAATCTATTGTTCAACACAGCCTCAGTACTTCTGTAAGCAGCCTTCGCTTCAGCTGGTAGCTGGAAGGTAACCAATGCTCCCTCGGGGTCCCCGCCGAAGTTAACTTGGATATTTACAATTTTACCAAATTTGGAGAAGTGATTATTCAATTGGGTTATGTTGTTCACGATACGAGGAACCTTTTTTAATTCCAAAGAGCAGTTAGCCGGGTTATGCACCACTCGTTGTTTTGGTCCAAGACGGTTGAAATCGAATGCTTGTTTACGCTTTAAAGGATTCGTTTGAGTATGCGTAATTTCTGATGAATTCGTGTGTGGAATTACTGGCACGCTAATCAGTTCTCTTTGTCCCCTTCCATAGATACCAGGTCCCGGTTGAGGATGTCTTCCCCATGGCATTCGAGGCTCCATACTTGGCGCATCTGGATTATATTCTGCAAATGCATCTGTGAAAATTGCTAAAGATTAGGTGTTGCTAGGGACATGAGTTTACATAACAATAATGTTGTCTATACGTTCATAGACATATCTTTTGTAAAATCATTACCCATATTAGAATGATGTTGATTTCGTAAATGAGGCGGAGGTAAACTCGCAAGAGGGAGGTGTTGTGGCGGGGCATTTCCATTAGGGCCTTGAGGTGGTTCCGGTACTGCCGTTACAGGTACGGTCCCTGGTGCTTGCGCACTATGTGGACCGAAAGTCAAAACACGACTTAAAGCTACATCTTCCAATACAACTGGGTCTGTACCATGATCGTAAGGACATAGATCACCTCTCATACAGTATCCCTTTTCTGAAAGCATAAATGAAAGAATTTATAATAAAGGATTTTCTCTATCGTCTTCAATTCTACACAATAATTAAATACAAACCATCAAAATCTCTGCATCTCCTCTTTGCTTGGAATCCTGGTTGGTTATTTGGTACATTAGAAGCGACAGCGACGACGCTTTGAATTGACTGACTAGTAGTAGACAATCTCATGTCTACATCTCCATGATTACTGTCTTGTGTTGGGGTACCTCCACCAGGGCTACCCTCGATCCTATCTGTTCTGTCCACATCCATCCTGTCAGATCGGTCTACTTTTTTCCGATCTAACGATCGTGATCGAGATCTTGATCGAAGAGGGGTTGGCGACCTATTTCTAAATCGCGCTCGATGGTCACGATTGTCTGGACCGTCTCGTATTCTCGGTCGTATAGGTGACGTGCTACGACTCCTGCTTCGCCTGCGTCAAATAAGCATTGTAAGTAAAGGTATATTTATCAGTTTAAATACTTCACTATTTAACATAAAATTTTGACAAACCTTCTATCATGTCGTCTTGTGTTTGGTGGCGATTCATTTCTCCACGGTCGACTCCTGTCACGTTCTCTATCACGACGTATATGCTCCCTGCTTCTGGACCTACGCCTGTCTCTTTCCCATGAACGTGAACGTGATCTTGTCCTGGATCTCATTCGACCACTTCTGAAATAAAAACTGCACTATGAAGATTTTTCGTCATGTTATCTGTAACTTTATTATAAAAGACGAGCTTTAAATTTCAGTATTAGTAAAACATCTTTTTGTTAACAAAACTTACCGACTTCGTGAACGTTTCTCTTTTTCTTTGTCAACTTTTTCAGAATCTGATTTTCTAGTTTCACGTTTACCTATTGACATAGGTGCAGATCCATTTATTTGGAGGGGAACTGGAGGGTTTGTATTGATCGATGTGACAGGAATTGTACTTTCGGCTATTTTTTCAGTTGCTAATGGAGGTGGTGGTGGATTCACACCAGGTGGTGTCCCACCGCCATCTGGATCATTTTTTGCAGGTGGAAGTATATATTCTTGAGTTTCCAATGTTTTGAACAGCAGTTCTACAAAGTTTTTGGTTTCTGCAAAGATATTGTAATATTAATCAATAGCTTCACAGCTTATCCAAATGATATTGTTTTAGTATAAGTTATAAACACACCTTGTTGTAAAAAGACGTCAAGTTGTTCAACCATTCCACCTCGCAATTCCTCCAAAGTTTTATCTTTCTTAACCAGAGCGTATACATATTTTGCTAGTGCAGCAGGATCAGCATCGCAACTGTAGACATGAATGTATAATATTAATGTTTTATACTTTTGAAAGTTATAAATATTAACATAGCCTGTATAGTTTATGAGATAATCTCAAATTAATGAATATAGTCGTTTATGTAATTATAATTAGCCCATCAAAGGTTAATAATGGAATGATCAGTTAAAGTATGTAAAACTCAGAGCGTACATGCTCATCTGAAACATATCCATTATTTTTATTAAATGCACATTCAATTAAAATACATTTTCTTTGTAAACATCTCAACATCTATTAAAATAGTTTTAAGAAATGAGTTCCGATTATACAGACAAGTATGAGTAGTATTTATTTTTTTATTTATAACAAAAGAAACATTATAATTAATCAGTACTGTCAACAAACCATTATAGAGTAAATCATTAAGTTATTTGTATAGGAAAATCATGAAATAAAATGGATCCAACATTCCTGATGTTCGAGGAAATATATTTAGAATTAGTGTTCCAAGTAAAAATGCCAGTAAGCCAAATATATTGCCCACAATCATTCGAAATAAGTTGGCTACAAAATATACAAGAAATATATTATGAACGGGCATATTGTTATTCGAATGGTTGTTAAAGAAGAGCGCAATATAAATCTCCTGTGGCATTGTTGTCCGTTGTAATCTACCGAGTATCGTTTAGAAACAGACGAGTTTACCACACGTAAATATAAATCTGCATGGGGTATAAAGCATAGCACATGTACGGCCATTTACAACATCAAATGCATACACATACACCTAAAACTGTACTCAGGCAAGCTGGCCTACTTACAGCGGCTCCAAGACGGCAGTGAGCCACGCCTTGAATTGATCCGGATTCTCTATTATCATTTTTAGTGAATTCGCGACAAAAAACACATGGAACTGTTCAAAGACACACGTTAATTACACAATATCTGGGCGGGAATAAGTACTCTTCTAAGTAAAGACAGTCGCCATTCTGAAATCTCGCTCCTATACACACAGCGTTCACATAGATAGAAACTAAAGTTTCTAGAAAATATTACAGGAGTCGCTGACTGCAGTTCGTCAGATAGGTTAGGTATGCTTGTTGGTTTATCGACATTGAATATGATGATGCTAGAAACGTAAATAATGCAATGAAAAGGCCTGTATAAATTTAAGTTGAGTCTAATATAATAACTTTACCCAAAAAGTAAGAAATCTTAAAATGTTGCTTATAAATTTCGTTTATTTTTGAAAGAAATAAAGTTCCATTATTCGTTTGGTACCATTGCGAAAAACTTAAATTTGTAATGAATTGTTAAAATGAAATTGATTGTAGATGCACGGAATTAATAGTTATTCAATCTTATTTGATTATTTAAATAATGAGCAATTCATTAAGAGAAAATAAAAATGTTTTTCTTTAGCTGCACCGTTTGAAAAATATTTGGGACTTTACTTATTTTTTTCTTTAAGATGGATGACCTGCTTAGTGCACAATGGACCAATATAGCAGCTTTTCTTTGAGTAGTTATATTATTATTATTGTCGGATTTTACTTTAATTTTTTAAATTGAATATTAAATTTAGATTTAGAAATTGGATTTATCTTATGCACTTTTTTATATAATATTTTACACGGTATAGTGAAATGTAGTCATTGTACCTATATGATGACTATATTGACTTAATAACGTGATATAATATTTTTGGATTGGTCAGACTGCTTCGTATAGAATTCGTATTTTTTTATGAAAATGTTCGCGCCTTCTGTAATGAAGTTACAAAGGTAATATTTAATTAGAATGTTGTAAGATGAGAGGACAGTTAAAGTTAGAGCATCAAGACAATTATTTTACTTAATGTAAGTTATCAAGTTTTATTGGTATTATACAATAAGTTAGTTGCAATAATTACAATTTTTATATGTTACATAGAATTGTTTTACTTAAAAGTACATAATTCGAGTTCTTCTGATATAGATTCTTCTTTATTTTTATTATAATAATGATTTATTATGCCAGCTCCTAAAGCATCAGCTATAATATTCATGGTAGTTCTAATGCGATCTCTGTAAGGTAATATATCAGTTTAATATGTTAACAAAATATTCTGGCATTTTATATTATTGAGGAATGCTTACACAAACCAATCAATTGCAATAATTAATGAAACATCTTCTGCTGGAATACCCACAGAATTCAGTACCATTATTAACATTACATAACCACCACTGGGTAAACCGGCAGCACCAATACATGATACAGTACACATAATGCTGAAATAGTTAATTTGATAGAATCATAGGAATGTAAATTATTTTATGTGAATAGAATGTTTGTTACTTCCTATAGTGATACGTACTTAATTATTATGATTTTGAATAATGAATATTGTAGTCCATGCAACTGAATTATAAAAATTGCACCAATACTTTCATATAGTGCTATGCCATCCATGTTTATTGTAGCACCAATTGGAACAATAAATTTAGTTATTTTAGAAGGTATTCCAATGTTTTCTAAGCATGTGATTGTTACAGGAACTGTAGCTGTACTAAATTTAATTTTTAGACACTTTAAATCTCTATAAAGAAAGGTAACATAATATATCAATTAGTTACCTGGATGATGTTCCAAATGCAGTAGCAAAAGCTGGCCCAAGTTTATATATAACTTTGTATGGAGATTGACGTGTGCATATAAAATATACCAAGGGGAGTAGTACAAAACCTTGTATGAGTAAACCACTGAATACAGTGAACATATAAACTCCTAAACGTTTTATTATACTTTGAAAATCTTCCACTTCCAGAAGTTTTGCAGAGATGAGAAACAAAATGCTTAGCGGTACTATCCTGTATAAGATAAATTTTTCTTTTACTATAATTATGAACATTCTTTATTTTTATTAATGATAGTATGATTATAATAATGTTTACATTATTGCCCAATTCATAATCTTCATCATTGTTTCTGATAAAGAATGAAAAAAGTTTTTCAATGGTTCACCTTTCTCATTTATGTTTCCAATTGCTAGACCTATCATTACACTGAAAAAAACTAAGCCTAAAACATTTGTTCCTGGTGCATTTCTATGGCTTATTTGCCATTCAGATAGTGGTTCTACAAGAAGAAATAAATTTTATAGTTTTGTAATGTTTTTTGTAATGTTCTTTTGTTATATTTAGGAGAAAAGTTTCTCTATTGTTTTTCAAACATACTTGAGATATTTTCTGGTATTTCTAATACAGTTTGATACTGAAACAATATATATTTCAGTGTTCAGTATCAAAAATAATAATAATTAAGTTAACAAGGTAACAAATAAAGAGTTTGTTACCTGATTCAAGCATGCGTTCATTATATTATCTGGTATCAAATTGCTGTGTTTCAAAAAGAGTAAAAATGAATAAAAGTACTGAATTGAATGTTATTACTATTATACTAGTATTACAGGTGTAAATGAATTACCGAAACAAATCCAAAATTGTATCTACTGTCATGAAATATCTGGTCGAATTTTGTGATATAATATTTTCACTTCTGAGTACTTCCCCAGGTTTTATTATTTCAGCAAGTACTACACTCAGTGTTATTCCAAGTATTGTCGTTGTTGTGTAATAGTATAATGCCATTAGTCCAATTTTACCTGTACATTTGAACCATGTATTAAGCAATACCTTAGAAAAATTATTAAGAATATTTCACTTATTTTGAATTTACCTGATTTCTTCAAATTACAAGTAGCACTCGCAATGCTAGACATTACAAGAGGCAAAATTAAACAATTAACAAGCCTCATAAATAGTTCTCCTGGAAACTTGAGATACATAATGTTCCGCTGTGTCCATGGTTGAGGTGTGTAAATTTTAAGAATGCTACCTAGTACAATTCCAGCACATACACCAAGGATTGTCTTTAATATTATCTTTTGTTTTGATAAATTTCTTAATGCCTCCATGTTATGTTAATTTACTATTATATTATATGTAATGTATTATAGATCTGCAATGTTTATTAGGAAAATGAAATACTATTTCATTTATATGACTATTAATTATATAAGATTTTCTATCTTTTATTTACGAGAGATAAGACTTCTTATCTGTTTCAGTGATAGAGAAGTAGTAAGATGTGTAAATTTCTTTGTTATATAGTGATGTTATTGTTTCCAGATTCATTCACATGTGAGGTGTTCATTGAAATATGCTAGTTTTTAAAAGTACACAATGTTGCCTTCAGAAAAATATCTTATGACAGT